TAGCGAACTCTAAACCAAAATGAATTAAATCTGCTTCTGAAGCGGTTTGAAGAGGTTTGCAACCTGTAGTCCAGAGTGTAATATAATCACATGAGTGTGGAATTGGTTTGGTGTCAAGTTTGTTGCACTAAAATGCATAATCAATCACAATGACAATGTCATACATGAGGTCGTCAGCTCAGTTGAATAGCAAGTGGCTGCAAAGGAGATGCCAGGGAAATACGCAGGCAACCTGTTTCTCAATTGTGTTTTTGTTGCTGAGCTGGGTGTGAGGCTTTTTGCTCAACATCGGTCTGTATGCCAAATCTAGCCGCTAGCCTGCCAACTGCGAACAAACGCATATTGTCAACAATCAAACCCTTAAGGACAAGCCTGATTTCTTTGTCTTCAGGCAAAGGAGGGCCTGGCAACGTCAAACGATCGATCTTCAACATTGTATCCAAGGGCGAAACAAGCAGGGCCCACGCAAGGAATATCCATGCCATTTCCGGCAAGCTGCACCTATCAGGGTCACGCTATGTCACACTTAACTGAAGTGTGGGATGTACTGTACCTTAAACAGCCTGATTCTATTGTTCAACTCCGATCCTTCTGATTTGCGGAGAGGCGTGTGAGGTCAGGGCGAGAAGTTCCAACCATGCTAGCAGCCTCCTCTGTGACCGGCATGCCCATAGCCATAAAAGGTTCTTCTGGGAACAGTTGCCGTTTGTGCTTCTTGCTCCACCTTAACCCCCAAAAGGTAGCATTGGGTTAGACAGATGGCAAAGCAGCCACTACTTAAGAGCAGCCTAACCAAACAACAACAACAGCAACAACAACAACAACAGAACACCAGCGCAATTTGTTGAGTGCATGTGGGACACAAGGACCCTGAGTTGGTTGTGAAGGTAGGCAAGCTCTCGTCTAATTGTCTCCCACGCTTTGCCCCTGGATTTTGTGAAAGGTCCTCAGGTTGTCATGTGGAAACATATGAACAACAACAAAGTAAATTATGTTCTTTAAAAACGAAAAGTACCAGCTTGTCCAAGGGTCCCAAATGAGAGAGTTCGGCATGTGCTCCTCATAGTGGTCTTTGTGCTCGCTCGCATATTCTGGGAGAGCGAGGTCAAAGAGGTCAGACATGCCACATGCTTTCACCTCGCACTGCACATGCAAAGTGAGGTGTGGAACAATCTGGGAGAAGAATGATAGAGTAAACAAAAACATGTAAGCATCATTAAAAAAATCAAACCACAAGCAAGATGCAAGCTCTGACTTTTTGAGCACGTACATATCATCTGCATTCATTTTCAGTGGTTGTAGTGGTGCAATCACTTGGAGAATGTGTCGTAGCTTCGGACCACGCCATCTGTACTTTGCTTTGTCGTAGAAGATCTTGTAGACGCGCACACTGCAAAGGGGCACAGGAATCGATGGAACACACTATTCACTGATTCACTGTTCAACTATATTTGGTTTTAACTACAGTATAAAGGTTCAATCTGTTTTTTGAAAAAATTGGTAGTTCTTGTAAACCTGAATGAACAGTCTTGGTCACCCCCACCGGTTCATTGGCTTCCCCCAGCGTTGAGGTGAGATCAATGTCGCTTCGCAAGCATATCGTTGAGCAAACTCATCTTTGAGCCACGTGTGAGGAAAGCCAGTAACATTCTCATGGAGGAACCAATCAAGCCTGAGACTGAAGGTTGCAATCTTGAAGAACTTGGAAAGCTCTCCCTTTCATGCACTGCCCCCCTAAAAGATCAAAAAGAAAAACAGGCTTGTGAATGCTCAACATGGAGCTTCTGGTCTTTCTTGTCTGCCAGCCAGACATTGGCCATGCCTTCATTCTTTCCCATCCTTATACTTTGCATGGCTACAGCCATCACGTGCAGAAGCTAGAGGTCTAGAAAAGACAGAGAAGGAAAATAAATGCTTTCCATTTGTTCCAGGGATCGGGGAAAACAAAACACATGGTGCCACCAACACTTGAGTACAAAAACCCACACGCGTCTAAGAAAACAAAATTACCACTGAAGTCTGCCAAGCTGCAAGTTTTTGCTCTTTGGCTGGCTTGCTAGGATCATGAGAGAATAACTTGATGTCTTCAAAAATGCATCGGTCTGGAAAGTTCGTTGCAATAAACCTTGGTTGAGTTGTTCTTTTTCTGGTTTCGAATGTGCATATGCAAAACGCAAAACCCTTCAAAACAAAGTATCAAAAGACTTGCACCTTGACAAGCAACAGCCTGGAACCTGGACTGATATCGCACGCACGGCCAGTGTTGTAGTCCAAGGAAAACCCATACCTGCTGTTGCCAAGTGCAAACAATTAAAGTATTTGTGTTTGTGTGGAAACACTAAACACTAAAAAGGAACATGTCTTTGGCTTTGACAGGCTAAAACTTTGATGGAAACTGATCCATGTCACCGGCAGCGGATGGCAACGCTTAGCTGCTGCAATGCAAATGCGGGAAAGTCACAGCCAGTGAAAAAACCATCCAGGCAGAAACAGCTGGACAGGAGTGATGACTGCACCTCCTCTGCTCCAAATAGTTGCCTTGCAAAAGTTCCAAAGCATTGATGTCGCAATTGGAAAACATGCGACATAACAAACCCAAATACAAACCTTAAAATGTACAAGCGTGAAGCTGAGGGTCTCAAAGCGGATGAGTAGGTTGCTTGCCCACTTCCAGAGCTGCTCATACGCCACTGGGTTCTGGAGATCTTTGTCGTCATCACGGTCTTCAAGTCTTCCCCGTTTCTTCTTGGGTTGATGTCCTTGGTGTCGGGGTCATGTCATGTCTCTTTTTTTGGCAAACTGTTAGACAACTATCTATAAACAACTTCCAAGAAAAGAATAAACGTTGTGGGACAACAGAAGAGTGTCCATCTCGAGGATCCCCACTCTCATATTCATCTGGCTCATCTTGAAGGAGTTCTGCGGTGTCCTCCTTTGGAAGACCAACAAACAGTTATATACATATTATGGTGTAAACACTGGTGTACCGGTTCTTTAAAACAAAGCAACATGTTTACCGCACAAACTTTTCTTGAACAAACTCTTGTCCTCACCAGATTCTGAATCCAACAATGACCCTCTGCGCTTGAGAGACCGAGCTGCCATGGCTGAAGTCTAAAGGGCGAACTGAACCCTCCAGCCACTGAGAGCAAAAAATCAAAAAACCAGCTGTTTTGCTGGCTGGGCTTTGACAGCGCCTGACATTCATTGACAGAACGCATCCAGAAACAACACCCTCCGTTTCGCCAAAGCACGCCAAAACACTGGTACAAAGTGTGAAAGTAGTACAAAGTGTCAAGGCGCAAAGGCTGACTACCCATTCTCAATGGTAGCGTGAAATGCCAAGAGAGGGATCTCAGAAAATGTTTTTCCACAATGGAACAGATTTCAGCGCAGCTATGCATCCGTGTGCAAAACCTGCGTGAGATAGGTTTTCTCAGGTTAGGAGCCACACATCTTCTTATGTATATTTATATACACACGCATCTATCATTTATAACATATATATATATACATACTTGAGAGACTGTATATTAGAGAGAGATGCTAACATTACTTCGAGTTATCCCACCCAGTGGCATTTGTCCTAAGTGCAAAGCACCACGCAGGTTGCAGAAAGATTTTCTCAGAGACTCTACTCAGGGCTGGTTTGATACACACTTAATTTATCTCAGAGTCTTTACTCTGGACTGGTGTTGAGTCACTGAGTCATAGAATGTGGTAGCTGAGCTTCTGAATCATTGACAGCTGATCATTCTAAATTAACAGCTAGTTACCACGAAATTGACTTCACAACTCACAACCTCACGATCCCCTGCGCCTGCCGCGAATCCTTCCACGTCCACACGTCTAACGCGCACAAAGTACTGAAATGTCACCTCCGTCACACCTCGCAACCTCACGATTCCCTGCGCCTGCCACGAAAATCGCACTTCCACACCTCAAGCCCGCACAAAGTACTGCGCCTGCCACGAAAAGTGACAATATCATCTCATGTGAGCTTCAACACAATTTGCACCACGCCACACGTTTGGAATGATTTCGACCCGTTCTGAGCACACTCCCATCCACCAAAATCCCCATTTCAGCTGAGACTTGTCACGAAAACAGAGCTTCGATGCCACACCCTGAAACGCAAATCTCAATGGCACGGCCACATACAACACCCCCAAAACAACACTCTCCAAACGCTATGGAACTGCGCAGAAAACTGCGGACCTCACAAAACGCTGTGCCTGCGCAGTGAACTCAACCTCCATACTTCAACATCTTACATTTGCGCGCGTTTCCACGCTATCTGACACGTCACGTTTTCATCCGAAATCATCTGCAAAAGCTTTCCCCAATGGCAGCGGCCTTATAGCGCCCTACGGCGGACGGTTGCGGACGGTTGCGAACGCAGAGACAACTCGTCGCGAACAAGGCTCTACCCCAAGACCCCCAGAGTTAAACGAGAACCCTTCGCTACGCATTCGGGAACAAGGATACACATGGGTGGAATGTGCTGCGTGGGTGCAATATGGTGCAGTCAGATGTCCCTCCAGACGGGGGGTTCTCCGAGAGGTTCACGTCAAGTGATCGATGTCGCTTGATGTTCGGGGGGTGGGGGTGGGGGGTATTAGCGCACGAACATGGTTTGATGTTATGTTTCTGGAACGTTAAGTTGATGTGCACCGCTTGAACAAAAAGCCTGGCTTGGAGAGTGTCATGGAAGCAAAAGGCGCTGCAAGGCTCAAGAGATGTTTGGCCTTTGGAAGACAGAGCGGGAGTTTTTTCCGGCCGAACCTTGGGCTGCTCGTTTGCGGGCCTTGCAGAAGGAATCTGCGACCTTGTCTAGACAGCTTGGCAAAGCACTCGGGACAGACAGAACACAAACCCTGGAACAAGTGGGCGCTCAGGCTCCATAGTTGTCACAGAAGGATTTCTTGGCTGCTTTGAGAAGCTGGGTGTGGGAAGCCCGTGCAAGCCCTCCTGTTTCTCACCATTGCCCATGGTGCGAGGGGTCAATGGCGAGATCCTGGTTGATGAGGACCAACTGGCAGAGAGGTGGAGAGGCCAAATTAAGGCTCCGGAACAGCTCTTGTAGTCCTCGCGTGTCTTGCTGAGAAGTGATCAAATGTCGCCTCAGAAGACGATAGAACGCGCTTTGCACATCTATAAACAAGAATGCGCAACTATGTTGCTTTTTGATGGCAAGGCCATGACGCAGGTGAAGTACATGACTGACCTGGACAATGGTCTGCCCCTTCAAGCCACCTAGTTGCATCGATGCCCGATCGTGCTCGAAGTATCGACCTAATTCTTGTCTAAACAGGCTGTGTAAGACTTTGCCGAGAGGACTGGAAATTGCTGCACCGCGACGGGTCTCCTTTTTTTAGCTTCAGCCAGTGTGGGTAAGGCATCCCACTGGAATTGCCTCTCGAGGCATTTTGTCATTGAGAGCTAGTCTGACTAGCTGGCAGAGGCACTCTCAGACTTCATGTCTCATTTCGACGAAGCAGCCCCAGTGCTGCAAGATGACTGTGTACCTCCTGTTCTTGAGGGTCTTTTCAGGGAATTCTTTGAATCCACGTGGTATGCTATGGAAGGTACAACCACCCTTACATGGACACGATGAGGGAGTAGGCCTGGAGACTCCTTCGCCGATATCTGTTTTGGGTACTCCTTGGCGAGAATCCTTCAGAAGATAACCCCGGTTCTGCGGGACAAATCCCCTTTTTTGAGCGTAATCTTGGGACCGATTATGCAGCCCACACGCTGGTGATAGCGCCGACACTACTATTGATATCGGACCCCTAGTTCCGGTCTGGGCTGATGACATCTCGCTGGCAGTAGTATCGACGCGATAGTCTCAGTTTCTCTAGGCTGGTGACACGAATCGCCAGTCTCGATGATGGAACTCCTTCCTGATATTGCGACGATAGTTCTGCACGAGTTGTCCACCTACGGCTTGCGCCCCAACATGGCAAAAGGGAAATAACTGAGTTATTGCTTGAGTTGAGGGGAAAAAGCGCAGTTCCGATGAGACGACAGGTTGTCCTGCAAGACTACAACATTGCCCTAAAGACTCCTCTTGTGTCTGACATGCTACATGTGGTTCCATGTTCAAAGACCTTAATACTAAGCTCGCTCAAACCCATGATGTGGTCACAACATACAAAACTCAGTTGTTCGCTAACCGCACCATGGACCTCAAGATCAAAACGCAACTTCTGCAATCCCTCGTGTTCAGCACTGTTATCTACAACAGTGCGACGTGGCAGCTACGTACCAAAAGACGTGGCAGTCCGACGCGGGCAACCTCATCTCTGGATCTAGGCTGGACCACTGGGCGCAAGCTCTATGTCTGCTGTCCTGACGATAATATCCAATCTGGCCAACCTGCCGACTGGGATCATGGTGTGGTGGGCGACCACACAGGAATTCTTTTGCGCCGCTTGCTCACAGTGATTTTCTGTTCGAAGTCAGCGATGTCCGTACACTCTTTCAAAAAACATCGTCAGGTCAACATTGCTCGGCATTACGCTCAGGGGCGGCAATGTGCCAAGTGTCTCAGGCACTATACACCCAGCATCAATTTGAAGAAAAGAAGACCTTTGTGCAAATCATGTAAAGAGAATTCCTTTGCGCCTAAGGCATTGTGGGAGCAGGCCACAGATCCTAGATGTCACTAACAGCACAGAACAAATCGACAATACACTACTTTAACAGAACCTTACTTCAAGCTGAGGGCCCCAGGAAGCCCGACAAGGGTGAGATGCAAGCTATTGACCCTGTTGTCGCTGCTGAGGAGCAGAAGTTGATCTGTGCGTGGACGCAGGCCTTTTCAGAGCATAGCCATCATGAAGCCCTCTTGGAGAACCTCAGGACAGCCACCTCGACAACATGCCTCTATCCTGAAGAGATTCGCGATGTCTTCCACCGGTGGTGTGATGGTCTGTACGAAAGAGAAGAGGGAGTAGTCTCCTTTAAGCGGAATTCGGAAGCTGTCCTTTGCATGGCTCAAGGGATGCAATACCCCAACCTGCAGCCATGTCGACATCATGCACCTCATCCTCGCTGAAATTCAGACGTGTTCACAGCTTGTGAAGGAAGTACATAGGCCTATTCGATATAAGCCCGCCATGTATTCTCCGGCATAGGAGACAAGGCGACTTTGAGTTGGCCATCGAAGCTCTAGGAGGATGTGCGATGTTGATAGATAAAATATTCCATGCTTATGGTGACTTGCGTAGGGAAAAACGTTTGAACTGTTTCGCAAAGCCCTTTTCGAGGATATAATCCTCGGATTTCTCGTCGGCCCGCCGTGTGAAAGCTGGAGCCGCGCCAGAGGGCGCCAGCTTGAAAACGGGCAGGCCAGACCCCGCAGAGTGTGCACTGTTACGAGACATATGGGTTGGCTCGATTTGACTGCGTGCGAGGACCAGTAGGTCCAACTGGGAAATAGGCTCTTATAGGAGTTGCTATCAGGCTTTTGTCTTTAGCTATCCTCTTAGGCCAAGAGTGGAATCTTGGAACATCCAGCCGAGGATAAGGATGATGCCACACAACCATCGATTTGGAAGCTGGCCATCTTGCAACTCTTGATGCGATTCGCGACCTGCAGGCGTGTGCTAATTCTGGGGGGGTAATACGGCGCCCACTCACTTGTGGCCCAGAGGAGGTGGCGAAAGCTAGGCAAAGAAACAACGCTGGGGCTCTTTAGGCAGCAAAAGCCTGGCCGGGAATCGCAACATGCCATGGCCAAGGGAAAAGGAGAGTGCCAACAGCGCCCCC